TCAGCACCTCCTTCACCCGCTTCAGCTGCTCAGTCAGAAGCACAGAGACCATACCGGATGATTGTCTGAACCCATCGTCCTTCTTGTACAGCGCAATCAACTCATCCTTATTATTATTCCCATTAGTTCCACTTTTGTACAACAGGGAGCTGGCGGTGACGTCATCATCCTTCCCGGATACCGGCCCAATATCAACAATGTGCGTGTTGTCCGTCAGCCAGAGATGGAGTTCGCCCTTTTCCTTTCCATTTTCTTCCTCAGCATTCTTGGCATACACCGGCAGAGTAACGAGCATCACTCTCCTCTTATCATTTCCAACACCGTCAATCTTCGCTGTGATGAACCCGCTTTTAACGCCCTTCTCATGTCGCTTTTGGTTGTTGCCCCACACGCGCGAGAGTGTCCCGAGGGCCTCCGTCCACGAATCCCCCTTGTCACCGGACTCGTACACCCTGCGGCGGCCATCATCACACGCTGTCATCATCATGAGTTTTCCCTTCTCCCGCTCCACGACGGAGGGATCACTGCAGCCATAGGCAGACATCCCCTTCGACAGCGTCCAATTCTTAGTATCCTTGGAGGAGTACAAGATCAGCGAAACGTTGTTATTCTTTTCTTCAGTTTCAGTGCCGTCCTTCTTCACGGCTTCCAACGGGAACACAAGCGTATCGTCATCCATCTTAATACCCGATCCACCGCTTCCAATCTCACCTGCCAAGGATTCGCGACGTCCCACAATAGAAGTGCACGGGAGACCGTCAGTATCTTCCCAAACAATTCCTTTGTCCTGTTCTCCACTGACATTCCCCTTTACCAGCAAAAGACCCCATGAGGCCGCGTCAGCCCCAACCCGACAAACAGCGACATTTTCCCTGATGTAAGTTCCAGCAAGCATGTAAATGCCATTTCCCTGCACAACTGTTGTTGGCCGGCTCACACGTACGCTGTGGAAACTTTGGGAACCAGCGCGATTTGTTGACCGAGAGGGGCATTTGCCATCTTCGGAGGAACATTTCTCCAGTGTTTGTGTCTTCAATTTACTCAAATTCAACATTTTTGGGTTTTTACCACTCAACTCAAGGAGCTCCGAGGCAATCTCAGTAAAGTAATAGTCTCCCCCACCTTCATTCTTCTTGCACAGCGCCTCGGCAACGGCAAACACTTTACCATTCACCTCAACAAGACTGGGAGCATAGAGCGAATCCACTGCTTCGTTTTCTTCCTTATCTCTCCAAACAAAATGTTTACCCGGTGAAGATCCCAGACCCGACGACGGCTCCGCAGCTCTCACAGCTCTTCCAGTGTCGCACATCATCACAACGAGGAGCAGCAGCACCGCAAAAGTAAACGCATGCCGGGACATGTTGGGCATTTGCTGCTCACTCTCCCTTCCTTCCCTCCTCCTTCCGCTGGATCCGGTCACGCGGCGACGGTTGTGTGTGCGGGGTGCCTTCACTGCAGCAACACGTGAGTGCATATAAATATGTGTGTGTGGGCGGTGTGTGTGCTGTTGTTGGTCCTTTCAGAGCCTTCGAATTTCACAGTAGCAATTAGCGCTTGTTTGCTTTCTTTCCTAGCGTGTCTGTTCAAAAAGTGGAGAAGACAACGACAGCGGCAATACACCAGAAAGGTCAGTGAGGAGCAGAGCACAACACCCACGCAGAGAGCGAGGCACGAGACAATCCGGAAGGGACGGCACGGAGGACCATCGCCCACAGAAAAGAGCAGCAACACGGCAAGTCACGGCGGGCCGTCGGTGTGTGAGGGCCAGCCCTCACGCGGTGCAACACGCCACACCCAACAGGGAAAGAAAGACAGAGAGACAAGCAGAGAGAGAAACGGATGGATGCCGTCAAGAGGCACTTACAATCCACATGGCCCGTGAGCATGCCGCCACTCCACGCAGGAACACAAGAGGAGAGGATGACAGGGGAAGAAGCAAGAAGCAGCACAAAACACACGGAGGAAACAAACGACAGGCAGGAAAAGCACCGCCACGGCCCTCGCCCTGGCCGGCAACTCCACACCAGCCCTCACACACTCACACACCATCGCAGTGCTGTCAGTCCGCGGGTAAGAGGATTCGGTCCTCCACAAAAGGAAGGCAAACACTGCCAGCAATCAACCACAATGGACGAGGAGAAGAGACACACCGCCACCGCCTCCAGTTCAGTCCCACGGGCAACGGGATACGGCCACAGCCCCGCTGCCAACACACAACGCACACGGAGCTAGCAATCACCCAAAGAGCCACACGCAGAAGCGGGCCCTCATCCAGCCATGACGCGGCGCCTCACTCCATGCGGTCACACAAAGTGCACTGTTTCCTCAATAGAACTTATTCGTCGTCCATCCCTTGAAGATGCCTCCTTTAATGATGGGTCCTAGAACAAAATAGAAGAAAATGGACAATGCAGTGGTGCTGTGACACCGCCAGCCACAATGATTCTCTCATACCGGGGCAATTCTCCAATGAAGCCTCGTATGCACACACAATCAACATACAATATAAAAACCACCCAATGGTTTTCACCAAAAACCAAACAATCCCTTTCCCTCCCTAATTTCTTCTGTCACCGTTGTGTTCGATAGAGTTGGACCGTTCTAAAATCTGTGTAATGCTGCCGCATGGGGCGGGTGCACCTGCACCGTATGCCCAGACACAAGCATCCAAAAATACATAAATCCCACAATATTTTTTCATCAAAAATCAAAATTGCCCCTTTCCCCAATTTGTTTTCCTATTTCTTTTTTCCTCACCTCCGGAGAGCTTCTTCCCTTCAAAAGTCTTTGGATGATATTGACACTTGGTAATGGCGCACCTCTTCCTTCCAGAACGTCGCAATTTTTTGCTCTTCCTTCTTGCTCACATTATAGGAATTAACAACATCACATCTCTGCCAGCCATTCATCGGCGTGCTGTCTGCGTGCCGCACATAAATAATCTCCCACGACATGTCTCGGGATAATTCCTCCCAACCATTAAAATAAGCCACCAGGCACTCATTGAACTGCCTCACAGTGCTGGGTATGGTGTGATGCTCACTCGCCGTAGTCATCTGCAGCCCAACCAGCGTCTTCGGGTTTGAGTCCAAAAAGAAAAAGCCGTCCACCAACGGAAAGTTTTTAGCCTCCGGTTTGTACAACACCCAACACTCTATTTTAATCTTCTTTTTTAAATTTTCCAGGCGCTCTAAAAGAAAGGGCTTGAGAGGGCGCTCATTTGTATACACTCTCAACGCACAGAGATCTGGTGGAGCATTTTTTCTACTTTCAGCTCCGTGAGTTTCGGTACTATTGCACTTACAAAGGACGCACTTAAAAATGCAAACAAGGAATGATCTTCAAGGGCTTTTGATATGAGGTCGTCCTTGATGGCCAATATGAGTAAATTAAAATAATTCGGCACCATTAACTCTGCCAACTTGCATAACGTTAATTCTGCAAGGTGAGAAGAAATCAGTGCATTTAAAGGCAATTCGGAATCCCCATTTCCTCGTACTCGTACGACCTTTACAAGTTTGTGAGAGACGTGGCTACCATCACACATTTTATCAGTCCCCAAAACAGAGTAATAGTTGGTATCCGGCAAGGTCATTTTATTAACTGTACTTTCGCACGAGTCAAGCCGAGATTTGTATTTGCTCTGATCAAAGACGTAGCGAAGAAGCGGTCCCAAATTATCCATTCGAACTTCCACCTTTTTCCAGTGGTCCGCTTCTTCCTCCGCAAGCTGCCAATTGTGCTTCATCCAAACGCAAATCGCCTTTGCATCGTCTTTCTCAGGACAATTCATTACGATTCGTAAGGATTCACTTTGTTTCTCCCATTCGTTGACGTTGTCCAGGTTTGGCGATGACACTACAATCATGCCCCATCCCTTACAGGGCGCAATATCTGTGTCGGGCGGTGTTCCTTTCTTTGCCACATCGTAAATAATATACCCCTTCATCCCACGCTGCCACAAACCACCCAAAACACTCTTGGATGTTTTATTACCCATGTATTTTGTCACCGTCTAGATGGTCTTGTCAAACACGTACGCCGTATCCCCAAAACAGTGAACAACCACTTGGAGTTTCTTGAAATCGTATTGCAGCAGCTGGTAGAGGAGGTAAGAACCGGCATTCATCGACTTCCCAATCCCGGGCGTCCCAACAAACAGATGCGGCACGGGTGAAGGATTGAAAGTCAAATGAAAATTGCTAAACCACTTGGTTAGATCGCGCTTGACGATCTGCCACACTCGATCCACCTCACAGTTTACAAAAAGGTCCTTCGAAGAATCCCGTATCGTATTCCACGAGTACGGCCATCCCTTGTCCGAGGTGAGCACCATCAGCCTGAGACGCGGTGCACCGGACTGCTGCGCACCATCATCCTTTTCGAGGAATTCACCAACTGCCCTGTACGTCCATGACTGCGGTGGTTCCCCCTCCCTCGCATCCATTCCCGTCCCCTCGCCGCCAGGAACTTCCACGAAATGGCTCCACCTCGCAACGTACACAGACTCGTACACTCCCTCCAGTTATATCGCTGCGTTCGACTTCGTTGGGTTTCTCGATTCCTCGGCGGCAGCATCCAAAAACATTTTAGTGACTCCATGAACACTTGCTTTTACCTCCGCAGCCGCCACCAACCACCTCAGTAGATTGTCCACACCATTTTTGTAAAGCCTGCTTACATCCTCTTCCATATCCATTTCATCCCTTACAGCCCTCTCCATCCTCTTGTAACGATATGTTGTCTGTATTTCTTTCAATACTCCTGCATCGCCAATATAGTTCTCGGGGTCCTTAAAAACCCCTCCAGCAAGACATTCCGATTGGTGTTCACAACGCCCTCTGCCGTCCAATTCCATCGCAAAAAAATCATTCAGCTTCATTTCATCCACGCGAAATCTTCCCTCAAACACCGCATACTTAATCCTAGTGGAAACGTCAATTCCCAGTTCTTGTCGTTCTCGTCTTGCCCTTTCTTCCTCCACCTCCCGCCTCTTTCCTCTCAGTACCTGAGAAAAGGCGTTGTTTATTTGTGCCCTTGCAAGAGGAATGACCACATCCCTTCTTTTAAATTCCCTCCATTGCCTGAGAGTGAAAATACGCTCTTTTCTAAGCATATGTAAAGCCCCCAATATCATGGGCATCTCCTCACGCTCTTTTTCAGCTCTTGGTATGGCGGCGATGCCTTTATTGTGCTCAATGACACTTCTTCGTGGATGAACTTCGTGGGGCTACTTAAAACGTCCTTCAAATAGACCCTCGCATTGAATTCCACAACGCCCCTGCCGTCAAAATAATTCCAAAGGAAATCATTCAGTCTCATTTTGGTGATGCGCTCCTTTGCCTCCAGCGGCTCTCTTTCCAGCCAACAATCAGGAGTCCACTGTGGTCGCCGCCTTTCCTCAACCCCTCTGCAAGTTGAAGCGTCGGAACCATCGTCCTAGCCACGGCGAGGCGCCGATGGCTCCAAAAGACAGTCGCGGCTGTTCGGTCTCACAGTCCCGGCGGCGTTGGGCGTGGCACTCGCACGGCCCGGTGGTCGGTTCGCCATGCAGCCGCACTGCAACGCCTGTCGGTGAAGCAGCCGAGGCCCAACGCGCCCGCAGCAACGCGACGTGCAATCGACCACAACACCGCCACATTATCGTACTTTTATTTTGTTCACGTTGTCTGTCTGTTTGCCCCATCACCGACACCAAAAATAAGTGCACACCTTTACAAAAGGGAAGGAACAAAGAGAAAAGGAGGCGCGATCCCACCGTCCCGCCGCGGGCTAACACTCTCCTCCACCCACCACCATTGCCGCGCAGGGGACCGCAGTCACATCGGAGAGCCAAAACCACAATGTGCACCACACCATCGTACACTGAACGATAGGCAAGACGCAGCCATGCATCGCCCCGCTCCATTTTCCCACCCATCAAGTATTGCGTGCCCGCTCAAAGTAGCAAACACAATCAGAGTGCACACAAACCCAATCAACACATTCACTCGATGAAGCACATTATTCGCATGGGGTGACAACATTTGAGGACACACCAGCAGTAGCAGGCTGCATGGAATCTCCCTGCCAACCCTGCAAAGAGACGCAACCACCCTGCGGAGTAAAAGTGACAGCCCCGCGGTGTTGCCTGCAGTTCACATGGCAGGACAAATTCCACGCACGCATAGTTCCGGACCCCTCGCTGTTTGAGTGCACACCAACAGAACTTACAAAAGAATTCGTGCGCGCAGGATGAAATTGAAATACTTGAAAAAGTCAGCCTGCTTTCTCCAATGGCGTTGGCGAGCAGTCCCACACAATCCAATCAAAGTGACACGCCGGACAGAACGGCTTCAGTTAATAAATAAATAATTGCGCCAATGCAAAAAGCAGGTATAATTTGGGTTTTGCACCCAAATTCGGAGACGACAGTGGCATGAGAGTGTGTATTTGTGCAAGGCCCTTCGTGCGACGGCGATCTCCAATCCCGCCGTGCCGTGACACAAAAGGGCAACGGAAAAAGGAAGAGCACACTCTCCAGAAAAGAAGTGACGGTTGGGCAGTCAACCCCCGTTTCGTCTCACTTGAGATCCACATATGTGCACTCCACCTCAAATATGTACCTCCCTGGACGCCGCATGCATGACGTGTGGTTTCGTCGCTCGTAATGTGCTTTTCCTCCCGCAAACAAGAACAACAAAAAAAAGGATGGCCATGGCGCAGCTGCACTCAGGGGAAGCGATCGGGGCAGACAGGGTGGGAACCAGGGATCATACCAAAAATAAAAAAAGGGCAACAACTCCTCCAAGCCAAAGCATCGTGCAGTGTTCATCCCTCTTCTTCTACATTAAAGACCTCCTCAACAGAACAAATGCAACAGACACATGTGCAGCACAATACCTTTGCTGTCCCGCGTTAAATCTTACTTCCCTTGCGTGCCACGGCGGTGGCGCCGGCGTTACATCCGGGATGACTCCAAAATACCAGGCACCATGCTGTGGAGAGTGGATGCTTAACGAACGTGCCCGCGTCAGCACCTAACAGGAAATGCCGTCAAAAAGAAAAACTACCCGCGACTCAAGCTACCCTGTGGCCGTACTAAAGCGACACTAAAACACGTGTGTAGAAATGCAAAAAAAGAAAAAAGAGGAGGAACCACAAGAGTGATCCAAAAGAATGCACCAGTATATGCATACACAAAGAAATACATCATTCCGCATACTTCTTCTTTCTTTCCCTTGTTGTTCTTCCCACGCAACACCAGAAATGCGAAGAGTGACAGGCATGCCCTCCCACACAGTCATCGTGGAACAGGAGAAAGAGAGTCACTGCAGGCACCCACAAAAAAATAAAAACAAACCAACAATCAATGACGCTGTCGGGGCGGAGTCCGATGGGTGGCTGCGCAGCTGCACAGCCGTGGCCCCCACGCCCTCCCTCACGTCAGCCAGCAACGCGCACTCACAACCTCCAGAAGGTGACGCGTCACAGAAGGGCTTCATCGACTGTTTTCCCTAACGCCTTCCTGAATGCATCCTATGATCCGCACACAACCACCATCGTCGAGCACGTCCTCACTACTGAGTACAGATATGAAAGAGAGAGTACCAGCCCTCATATTCGGTGCTGCAGCGGCGGGCGCAAAACACATACACACGCACACGCACACACACACACACACAGAGAGACGTTGCGCATCCGCCCCGGAACAGCGTGATACCTCGATAATCCGTTGTCGTCGATAATCGATAAAATAAAAGCAACAAATCAATCACCCGATCAATCTATGAATAATGGAAAGAGAGAAGATACCTGCCAGACGCATCTACGTCATGCCGCATCTGCGAGGGGCCTTGTGTCTTCTCGCCGCACAACGGTACTGTTGGGTCGGAGCCCTTACACCAAAAAAAGAAACTGCGCTAAATGTTTCGTCAAGCGGAGCATCTTCACCTGTCCAGAGCGGTATAATTAATGCCGCAGCTCGCACTGGATGCACGGTCAAGCAGACTCAGCGCGTCTGAGGAGGTGTCACCGGCCATGAGCTGCAGCGGCGGTGCGGGTGGTCGGTACGACGACGCAACGGTGGTGCCTGAGGCGTACGACGATGACGTCATGTCGTGGGGCTTCTGCGTTTCTTCGTTGCTCTCCTCGCCATCGCGCAGCAGCGCCTCCAGCCCTCCACGCCGCGGCTCGCGCAGCTCCTGCCAGTGGCGGTCCTCCGCGTACCACACAACCATGCTGTACACAGTGACCGTAAGCAGCACAGCGGCCAGCAGCAGCACGATAGTCGCGTACGCCCTCGCACCGCCGTCGCTCGGCGCAAGGTGGTTGGCCGCGCTGATCAGACACAGCGCCGCAAGCAGCACAAAGCTCGCAGTCTGCAACACCGTCAGGAGGGCCGAGCGCATCATGTTCGTGAAGGCAACCACGCCCGCACCCGCAAGCAGCACAGCCGCCATGCAGAAGTACTGGACGTGGCAGCCTCCCACCGGGCGG